ACTTCAAGGTGCACGATACTTTTTCCTGTCAGCTTAATAGCAATGACAATAAACAAGTGTACATCTTTTAAACCACAGCAGATGTTGTTTGAAAACAAACTAATCTCCTCATTACTAAACAAAAAAAAAACCAAAAACCCAACTAATGCAACCTGAAAGCAATATTAGTGTGCTCCAGTAAATGTATAGAAATCTAGTGAAGAAATTGGAGTGGAAGTTGACTTTTACCAATTCACAGAAATTGTCTAAATTAACTACCTCAGTTTTTCTTTATTATCAAAGTTTGTTATGAAATACGTTAAACCAAACATTCTATTCAAGACTCTACACTACTGAACAGCAATAAATTAACCTTATATTATAGAGAGATGGGTTGAATGATTTGGACTACTTTATTTCACACTACATGGTTCTATTAAATTGTGATAAGTCTCAATTTTAAGGAGAGAAGAGGGGGAAAAAAACCCGTAGTTCATATGTTAAGCAGATTACATAATCTAAAAAAATGTGAAGTAAACCTGTTTTGCTTCTAATGCAGTAATTTTAACTAGTCTTTACAGAGAAAGTAAATTCAGAACAAGCAACCTAACTGACCAAAGAAATGCACCAACTTTGACATATTCACAAATATAAAAATGCAGTTGTATTAATGGAAGATTACTTTTCAAATTTGTTATCTAAGTAACATAGTCTATTTAGCATTTATGCCAAATTATGTCTAAAGCTCAAAAGTTACAAGAAAAACAATGATGCAAAGCAACATCGTGAGAATGCAGAAGTTTTAACTTAAATCTGAGACTATCATCTTATTTTCTACCCCAACTATTTAACCAAGTGTCTTAAATCACACATTTTACCAACACAGGAAGTCCTAAATAGGTCATCAGGATTACCTACACAATACTGCAGGTCGATCACTATACCTTCAAACCACAAATTTAAGAGACTAGGATGACCAATAAAGAGTTCAGGTAAGCAGCTTAGGAAATTGAAAATCATCTTGAACTACATCTAATTATATAGGTGATAATACAATGCAAAAACTATTTCGCGTAAGAAACCTAGTACCCGCACAGAACCACTGATGTAGCCATTTCTTTGCAACTATCGCAGAAGAGAAAGAATACATGCAAGGATGAAAGCACAAACAAGCATTGTTACTTAAAATGTTCATCCTCATACTCAAGTTCCCATGACCACTCTGCATCTTGGGGAAACTGTTCTTCACCGCTATCATGCAGTTTTTGATTAAAAAAAAAAACAACTACAATGTTCAAATGCCACATAGGGAAAAATTTCTGAAGAGCTATTTACATTTGCAAGATCAAAAAGTGTTGCAAGCTAAGAAAATAGTTCAGTTACTATCTCAATCTTTCCTTTAGTTGCTTTGTATAGCTAGGAGGATAAGTTACCATTCCAATCAAAAAGACTCTGGCTATTGATTTTTTTTCCTCTGGTTCTGAAGTGACCATTTTGTTCTTTTAATTGCAGTTTGCTTTAAACTTGATACTCATTATAACATCTTTCGACAAAATTTACTTTCCAGGAGAACTGACGAGGCATGAAGAGGGTTTACCCAAGCCAAAGGCTCCACCTGTCATTTTCTGAAAACAGCCTTAAGACTATTACAGAAAGACCACTACACATCTTTGATCAAAGACAAAGCTAACATGTATTCTTAGAAAATGAAGGGAAGTAAATAAAAAGCTGTGAAATACAAACTCAATTATTTGCCTAAGTAACTTTATCTTCATCATACTGAGTGAAAACAGCAGCCCATCTTCCCTTAAATTTCAAATACAAAAATTAAATACTTTTAAAAATCTAAATCCCTAATTACCATAAATGCATGAAATGCATCTGAAAGTTGACTGTCTCACTTCAGTTTTAGAACACTGAATCAAATCAAAATATTTTCCTCCTACAAAAACACGGTCAGCTAAAGTAAATCAGATAAATGCTAAGCATAACAGGAGATCTCTTTTTTTTGACCAATAGCTAGCACAGCAAATCATTTACTGCAAATCAGAATAATTTCTGAAGTTATTTTTTAAAAATGGCTAAAAAAAGGCAAAAACAGATGAGGACTACATAGTACCCAGTGAGAAGGGCAGAGTCAAAATAACTTTCCTTAAGGACAACGTAAAAAACTGGTTCAGCAAAATGACAGAATTTATTATTATCTCTGCTATTTCAAAATGCTTGTGAAAAAGAAGAACATAACTAATGTGAAAAGGAAGAACAAAACTAATTTTATTTTTCAGGGTCATGTTTAAAAACATACCATTACTCAGCACTGATTTAAGAACTTAACTCAGAAACACTGTGGTACATAAAATGGAATTTGTTTTTTAAAAAAAGATTATGTTAAATTTAAAAATTACACAGAAAATTCTATTATATTGGTGCTATTCAAATACAAATTCCCATTATCCTAAACTTCAAGAAACTTTGACCTAACTCATATTTCCTTGTGAAAAGCCTGTCATAAAATAAACAGCTGACAGGACCACAAAAATTAGAAATAGAAATTTGAAACTGATGAAGTCTGAAGACGACTTCTGTGTCTTTTTATAGGACGAACTCTAAAAAATTGATTATGCTCAGCAACTCACAGAATCATAGAATAGTATGGGTTGAAAGGGACCTTTAGTGGTCATCTAGTCCAAGCCCCCTGCAGTGATCAGGGACAACTTCCACTAGATCAGGTTGCTCAGAGCCCCAGCCAACCTGACCTTGAATGTTTCCAGGGATGGGGCATCTCCCACCTCTCTGGGAAACCTGTGCCACTGTTTTACCACACACACTGTGAAAAATTTCTTCCTTATACCTAGTCTGAATCTACCTTGTTTTAGTTTAAAACCATTATCCCTTGTCCTATTGCTACAGGCCCTGATAAAAAGTTTGTCCCTATTTTTCTTATAAGCCCCCTTGAAGTATTGAAAGGCTGCAATAAGGTCTCCCTGGAGCCTTCACTTCTCCAGGCTGAAGAACCCCAACTCTCTCAGCCTTTCTTCATAGAGGAGGTGTTGTTCTAGATTGACTCTTCTTGATTTAGAGTCACTGTTTCAATTGCCTTCTTTTTGAATGGGTCCAGCTTTCATCCCTGCATTTCAATCAGCCAGCATTTTAGGACAACTCTCAGAAGACAGCGAAGCCATGCCCTCCCAGTTTCACCATTTACTTCTTTGTTGGCTAAGAAATGTCACCCGTTAAGTTCAAGAAATCAGCAATCTAAGACCTGTATTTTGTCTGACTGTAAGCAAGATTTCAGCTTTTCAAGAAACCCCTAACAGCCAGTAGCAGATGCATCTTCATGTGCCTGATGTAAACCAAAGTGATGCATCAGAACAAACTGTCATTTAATAAGTCAAAAGAAAAGGTGACAAAAATGTCCCAAATGGAACAAAACAGCCTTCCACTATAGCTTTTGCTTAAATTTTTCTTAAGTTTAGCAAGGAAAACAGTTAACAGGCACTATGAATCTTCCATAACCATCATATTGTAAGATCACAAGTACTGTTTGGCTTCTGCTAGTAAGTATTTCATGGTATACTTTAAAAAGAGCCTTTCAAAAGAGAACTTCTTCCTACATGCGCACTCTGAGGTCACACAGACCCTTTAAGTACAGGCTACTTCCTAAACCTTTTTTTCTTCCCCACACTAGAGGGATGTTCTGTCTCTTAAAGGAATTAGCAGAAAGTCTTTTAAGTAAACTATTGTGTCAGTAAGGACTACATTGTAGAAGCACTGATGTACAGTCTCTATGATCTCCTTTAATGGAATTTAAGGCCAATTAGACATACACTACTTGGGATTGGTCTTTCTATCTTCCATTCTGCTTCAGAACAAGGAATCAAAGCAGCTTTCCTTTTCTTGAGACTACAAAAAATATGACCACTTCTCTGTCCTACTACTTCACATACTCATATTTAAAGTAACAAATTTTCTAAGACTTTACTCCTGCTCACTTACTTAAACTGTGACTTTGCCAAATCCTTCATTTTATATCAACCAGCATTGTATTTTGTGCAGTTATTCTACATTCAACTTTTAAAATATGTACAAAGTACATTCTAACTTCACATTCAGACTCTCACAGGACTTCTTACTGAAGTTCACAACATGAACCTACTGATTTTGAAAGTGCACCCAGAGCTATCCAAAGCCATAATTTCTACTAGAAACATATCACTGGAAATAGTTATTTCTAATCTCCAGTGAATTGTATATAATTCTCAGAAGGAAGTTGATAAAGCAAGGAGATTCATTCTTCTACACTGACAAACCCTAAAGCTGTAAAACCAGATACCCCAGCCATAAAAACAATAAACATTACTTGTATCTGTCATGTGGGCTACTATGCCCTTCCCATGAATAAAAAAATACTGAAAAGAGCAAAATACAAGTATTTTCTTCCACAAGAGATTGGAGAACTGAGGGGAAAAGTGGTCTGTGTTAGGATTATTACAGTATTCACGTATTTCACAGTTAGCTTTAAATATGGCTATAAACCATATAACCAGTAGGTTATAAAACCAACTTTCTGTTCCTACATACAGTCCCTGAACAAGAGAGTGATTTCCACCGGCCATCAAGCCTTAACACCAACAAGAAGCCTGTGAAACTGGTGAGACATGGAATAGGTCCATATCGGTTACAAAACAACATAACTTACATTATCAACCAACATTAGGTAAAGTACATACATATTCAGCATGCTGTACCACTGTAACTGATCCTTTTCCCTGAAAGGCCAATTTTTATTGCAGCAAACACTAATATATGTTCTTACCTTTTTGTATCCTCTAGTAATAAACTAAGGGTTCAGTAGCTTTATTACAATTAAGCTACAAACACAGATATGTGTTAAAAACAAAGTACAAATACAAAAAACCCCAAAGTTATTACTCAAAAATAAGAGCGGCAGAATCAGATCTAGAAGAAAATTCCATCAGTACTGTCATGTCTTCAAGAAATAAATAAGGTGGTATACATACTTTTCTGCCTGGAGTTTTGTGGTTTTTACTATCAAGTCCTGGGTTTGTTCCTTTGCTGCCTAGAATACAATTAGAATTGTTAAGCACGTGAAAAACACAATCATATCAAATGTATTACACAACCTTTAAAATATGTAACACTTTGGAAGCTTTCTGACTATAAGCAGTTTAAAGAGTGTAGTCTTTGAAACAAAAGGCCTTCTTGAAATAAGTATTAACTCTCCCTATTTTCAAGCATGAAAAAATAAATTAATATACTTATCCATATATATTTTCATCTTGATATATATTTATATTCATACACAATTGCTTTTTAATTTATATTTAATACAAAAACATTATTATAAATATTAGAAATAGTTCTGATTATTTTGTTTGTCCACCAACTGTAAATTGCTTGCTATTACAAAATGAAAAATGAAACAAGTTCCTCCGGATGCTAAACTGCCCGGTACCAGTGTCCATACAGACATTTTAGACACGAATACAGCTCTGCTCGTGTAAGCAAGTTTAGTTCTACAGTCCAAGCAGCCTACGGGGCAGTAAGGAGGAAGAAAAATTATTAGGAAAAATTTCTTCACTGAAGCGGTTGTCAAGCACTGGAACAGGCTGCCCAGGGAAGTGGTGGAGTCACCATCCCTGGAGGTATTTAAAAGACATGTGGATGTGGCACTTAAGGACATGGTGTAGTGGTGGACTTGGCAGTGTTAGGTTTGCAGCTCAACTCCATGATCTTAAGCGTCTTTTCCAACCTAACATTCTATGATTCTAAGAGCAATGCACTTAAGAAGTACATCACAGCCCTAAATGTTCAGTGATAACAATGCAAGGGAATCTATCAGAAACAATTAACCTACAGACAGCAGCTGCATGACTAAAGGGATTGCTGCAACTGAAGTTAAAGAGTTCTGAGATTTATCGCTCAGCAAGAAGTTTTCCACTGGACACCACCAGTGGTCATTTAGGAAGAAAAATAAGATGATTTAACAACAAAAAAGAAAAACCAAGATCAAAATGCCATCAGTATGGAATAGTACTGCAAGTGAAGAGGTGGAAACAGCTATAAAGATATTCTGCGTGAATAATTTCAAGACTGTAATAGGTCTAAATTACGGTGTTTGCCAAAATGAAGATGCCAATCTTGCAACCCGTTAGAGGTCTAACGCAAATACATACACGCACTGATTCATTTCAGCCTTTCTATCTGCCACACTGCTTTAGTTACAATGGAAAAAGCAGTCAAGGTACAGGAACACTTTGAAAGGCGAAAGTAGGACTGCAACCATTCAAGTACAACTTCAGGCTCCCTCTGAAGACTGAGCTGTTCCATGAACATAGACAGCAGGCACTGCTCAATTTTCTAAAGAAAACTATTATGGACTAGCACACAAATTTAAGAAAAACTCGACAGAATTTACTGAACGTTTAGTAGTTCCAAAATAAGTTAAGATCTCTTTAAGCTTTTTATAACTTACGTAAGATAATATTTAGATTTTAAGATGTATTTATATTTTAAACTTTTTTAAAATGATAATGATTTTCAGTGCTTCAGCCTAACAAAAAAAAAAAAAAAAAAAAAAAAAAAGGACAATTACAACAGAAGACTAGACCTGAACTATTCAGTATGGAAATCTACTAATTCCAGACTTTTTTTTTGCCCCCTTCCTTCAGAGTTGCAGATTTTAATAAACCAAAAAGACAGAAGAAATTTGCTTCTTTTCCAGTGCTTTCTGGACAGAAGTACTAATTGCCAAGAAGAATGCTAACAGTAGGACAGCAGAAAGGAAGGAAAAGCAGTTTTTCTGGATCTAGCCAGATATATCAAAGAAGCCAGTTTTTATTTACATGCATTTAAATACATCCCAGATACTGTTATTACTGTATGTAATGTAAGAACTTACTTCTAAAGAAAACAAGGTAACTGGCAGAAAAGTCAGACATGCCAGAAAAATTAGAAAGCTTGTATTTGATGTTTCTTGCAGATCTGAAATAGAAATATTTTTCTCTTCCTCTCCACCTCAGTATACTAATTAAAACTTTCCCTATCTTTCAACCCCGCTTTCTACCATTCCAGCACTTGCCTCCTTCTCTCCCTTTCAGCCATTGCACTTACCAAGTCACTGTCTTGAAATCAGATCTGACAGTATCTGGTTGTTCAGATTGGATGGTATTATGAAGTTAGGAAATGAAAAAGATAAAAAGTTTTTTGGCTTATCAATATATAGTCCCTTTCATATCTTGTATTTGTTCTGCTCTCTTAGCACACTTTTCTGCCTTATATGCTATAGATACTCGTCTTTAAATCTTCTATTTGCTCTACTTTTAGTCCAACTTTGTCTTCTTATTCAGCTAGAGCATGTGCTTGCAAGTCTTCATGTACTATTACAGATAAAATACCAGAGTATTTGACAACTGAGTGCTTGTTCATGGGCTTATTAACTTACTTTAACATTTATACAGACAAAGAAAACATGGGTTGAATTGAGACAAGTTCAGAGTTCTACAGGGCTCTAGAGGAAACCTCAGGGGGGGCACAGAACAAAACTACCTACTGACTTTAATAGAAAAAGAAAGCACTGCAGGGTGGCTTTACTCTGGGGGAAAAAAAAAAATCAAAGACGATAGTTACACTTCATGATTTAAAGACAGAAAAGAGCAAAAATCTGCATGGACACTTGACTCATTTCCACATCTAAGAGTTTAATCAAACAGTTCCTGAACTGCACTAGGGAATACATCCACATTAACAGTGTTCAAAGAGATCTGAGACCTCCGAGGTGCACTTCCCAATGCCTTCCAAAGTTGAAAATTAAGTACTGCAGTGGGCTATGCTGTACTCTCACACTTTTTGGAACAAGTTCATCTGACTACAAGCATTCTTACGGGAATACATACAATGACTATGAAACCTATTCATCAAAGTAGGGGGACATCTAAAGTCCCCCTTAGGGGAGAGGGGAAAAAGCAACTGTTTTCACAGTATTTTTTAGTGAAGGATTCTCATTTGTGCTATATGCAGAACAGATTTGGTTTGGCAAAACATCTACACTTCAGCATCCATAAACCTTTTAAATCACTGTATTGAATATTGGACTTGTACACTAAACCCAAGCCAGATTTAGTAACGCATTATAAAACACAACTTTTTTTTTCCCCTCTAGCATATTATGGATTCAGATTAATATGAAACAGAATTGGTTTTGTTGCTTATCAGAATTTTGAGACAATGTTGTGAAACAAATAGAATGAACATGGTACACTAGATTTGTCTCCCTCTTTGGATTACAAGATACTTTCTTATGAACACACTTGAGGTGTTTATATGAACACATAACTAAAGAGATGTAGTCATGGGAAAGGCACATAAATTTTAAATAGAAATACACAAATGTAATTAACCCTTTAATCTCACACACATCCAATCTAATAAAATATTTTCTCTCCACTCACATACAAATGGGTATCACATTGCTATTCTCAAAATAAGTATAAAGCTGCATTCTGAATTGCAATTTCGAAGAAACTAAAGTTACTTCCTCAACACATTTTCTAAATAAGTAAAAAGAAACATACTAATATCCTGAAGTAACATAATATGCATACTATGGAAACATCTCACTGTTGCTGTTAATCTTCCAAAACAATTATTTACCCTTTCAAAAGAAAGTAGTTGCACCTCAAAAGGAAAAATATACAAAGCACATCTATTTATATATTACCTTCAAACGACTGGACATATCTTCACAGCAGCTGCTCATCGCTTGCACATCTTCGTTTATACTCTCAAGCTCCTAAATAAGTTCAAATAACAGTAACTCTGCTTTAAATCAGAAATGCCATACCTAGGCCCAGCTTCATCCCACCAAAATGAGATGCCCAAGTTACAAGGAACATAGTCAGTCTAGGCTCCCTGTTAATCAATGGAGCAAAGGCAGCTCCAAAGATCAACATTCACTTAGGATTTTTACCTGTTTGAAACACCACCCCCCTCTGCAAAGGATTTACATCAAATGAAACAAATGATGAAACAATTTTACTGTAAAAGTATGTTTGTCCTGGAAAGTCAAAATCTTCCTTAAGCCTTTTTACCTTTTTTAAACTTTAAATTATATAGCAATAACCTTGCAAAATATCTAGTCACACTGTAAAAACACTACCTCTTTAACTTGCTTGAATATGTGGACAAATTCTTCATTTATAGCTAAGCTTCGTCGTTCAATGTCTCCACGCAAATTTCTTCGGGTGCGCAAACTGTTTTCGACAAAAAAGGTCGAGAGCGCCTTCAGTGCTTCCAGCATTTCCTAGAAAATAAGAAAGAGCTTAACCTTCCACACAGTTACAAAGAAGCAAGTTACATCGTTTTGTGAATATGCCAAGTTCATGGTTTTAGGGAGGGGAAAAAAATCCCAAACTACTACGCGGTTTTAGAAGAAAAAAGCCTACCTAAACACAGTCCAGATCAGTTGTTAAATAACTAAAATAATTGCTGAGTCTTTCTCATATAACATACAACTTTGTCTACTATTCTACAATAGGTTTAATCAGATTACCTCTGGTTAAAGCATGACCTATCCATTGCTAGAAAACATTTAAATCCGAAAAAGCTTAAGAAGTGCTCTCTGAGCTAAGCAATACAAACCTCCCTACGATTTAGAGGGAACGAACAAGTGCGTGGCATGTCACTGGAGAAGCAAAAACGAATTTTATTTTTAATTAACGCTGCAAACATCTGCTTGTGACTGCGCAGCGGAACTGAGGGTATGACACGGCTCGCTTGCCAATTTCGGAGCCTATCGGGGCTCGCTGCCCCTGACGGCTCATCCGGCTGATCCCCGCAGGGCGCTCCC